GATTAAAAATGATGTTTTTGTTGATTTTAAGAAGAAAGGGGTTCCACTTGAAGATATTGCTCTGCATTCTTTGGCTCTTAATAACAAAAAGGAAAATTTGGTTGTTTTTCCTTTTATGAATTTTGTCATTTTTAATTGGTTCAATATAACTTTGAAATCCTTGATTCTGGAAGCATTCGTGTTTTCTCATTACAATTTCAAGTTCCGCAAATTTGATGCGGAACGTAAGATCAACAATGTTATCCAAACCCACAGATACACAATGGATATGGAACCCAAGATTAACTTGTCATCCGAACCCATATTGTACCCTTAGTATAAAAACTTAATCTTTAAACAAACCTTCCTTATTTAACAACAATCAACTTGTGATTAGAAGTAAGGTAATTGGGATAGAAGATAAGTGAATTGATTAAAACACCACAAAAATATCTTGATAAGTTGAAATCAATTCAAGAAAAAAGAGTTGATTAAAATGCTACAAGAAAATCTTAATAAGTTGAACTTAATCCTCCATGCAACAAAAAGGTTGAAGAAACCTTCAAGAAGCAATCTAGCTGCTGGCTGCATTTTGAATAACTTTATTGATTCCTTGAATGAATGAAAAACAAATACAATGAGGCCTATTTACAGAGATAGGCCATGAGACTCCTAAAAGAAATAGGACTCCTAACTATAATGCTTATCTTAAAGACCATAATTTCCACATGCTAAATTACATGATAAGGACTCTTTACTCTTGGACTAAAGAAGAACCAAAATGCAAGGACTCTTTAATTAAATCATAACTCCCACATGACATATGATTTGTTAGTCTTTATGATGTTGAGGGGGAAAAACAGACCATATCTTTTATAGAAGAGTGGACGACAATGACTCCAAATTTGATAAGATTGTGTTGCTTGTAGATGATATGAAAACCAACCATGTTTTAGTAGAATAAGAACTGTTACTCCTTATCAATTTAGGGCCGAAACTGTCCATGATCTGTGGGATAAAGCTCCTTAGTGATTGGCCTCCATGTAGGATAATGACTCCTTCATAATCAGCTTCCATGTAGAGCAAGGACTCTTTAAAGAGTAAGGACTCTTCGAAGATTGGTTTCCATGACTTGTCAAAGAATAAGGATGCTTAATAATCAACTTGGAAGAGTCCAACATTGGGCTGCAACTTTTAGGAGAGTTTGGCTGAGAGTCCATAAGTTGTAGGAGAGGAATTGACCGCCTTTTCCCTTGGCTCAATGGATTCGGCCTCCATCTTTCCATGGGCCCCCAAATCTGGCCCAAGCTTTCATTCTTCATTAATCCATTCTTGAACATAAGCTCGAAAGGCTTGCTTGAGTTTCTTGGCTCATGATCTTGTGATTGATCCACTTGACATAATGATATTCTTTTCATGTGGCCCAAGTCCATCTTGAATTATGTCCATCCTGTACTTGTCTCCATGTGGTCCATATGGCGATAAAGACTCCTATATTTTCTGATTGGCGATTTGATCTTCATCACTTAAATTGTTAGAAAACTAAGTTCCAACTTTGACATTATTTCTAGTTCAACATTTTAAAATTCTATATTGAGTTCTTACCAAGTGGTGGAGAATGATGCAGAACAGAAAGGACCTAAAATAGGCATATTTCTATAATAATAGATATTTATTCAACTGTAATATTTATATATTATTAAGGGAGCTAGTTTGTTTAGGAATCATTAACTATAGGCTTGTTTTAGTATGGGAATGTTGTTTCCTATTTACCTAGGATGTTATTTAGTTATTTTTCTGTTATAGGTTAGTTAATTATTTAGATTATTTTCCTATTTCCTAGATGTCCTATTTTCCTAGTTCTTTTTGTTTTATTTAGTTTTCAATTTACTAGGTTTTTTAAATTTTCTATTTTTGATTTTATTTTGGTGCCGAGTTTATTATTCACGATTATTATTCAAATATTAAAATATTACTTTGATCCTTGTTATTAGAGATCTCCCTCTTTCTTTCTTGTTCTTCTATTCTCCCTTTAAAGTTTTCACCTCCTATTTCGCTTTATCTATCTAGTCTTCTATTCTCTTCGTCATATATTCTCTCTATTTCTTTACATTGTTGGATAATTGTGGTTTTACTATACTTGTCCTGCCTCACTTTACTTTTCCATCTCCATGTTTTTTTCTTTTCCTCTATATTATGTAGCTTGTCTAGAGCTTTTGGAGGAAAAAGTTAAGGCTTTATAGATTAAGGAAAAAAGTTAGGGCTGAAGGAAAAATGATTGCAACATATTGATTCCTCTGACGATGATGTGGATTATCTGGAAAAAAAGAAACCTTAGAGTTTTTTAGGGAAAGGAGAATTTGGTGTATAGACGGAGAGATAGGTGGTTATATTTTTTTGGGAATATGTTATTCGGGCATGACATGATGAGTGGTGAAGATTTTGGGATTTTCATTGATACCCCAATTAGAATGTAGATTTATGGTACATGGACGGTACCCCCTTTGGTACTATGTTTATAATACCATATTTACACTTTTTATTTTTTTAAAAAAGAGATAGATGGATACATTATTTTGGAACTAGTTTATTAGACCATGACATTATTAGAGATGATGATTTTAGGAATGTCATTGATACACTAATTTTTTTGTAAATCTCTTATGCATGGGTGGTACCCCATTTTTTTTTTGGGTACCTTGTTAATATATATGCATCACACTTTTTATCTCAAATAAAAAAATTATGTTGCTTTATTTAAAAATAAAAATTATGTAGCTTGTCAGTTCACTATTGTGGTCTGGACCAAAGGCAAATGCACTCTCTGCTGCACTCTCTGCAAATGGAGATCTAGAAAAAAAAGA